CGTTCTTCAGCTCCTCCACGCCCGCGCCGCTCGCCGCCGTCTCCCCGAAATCCTCTCCCACGTCCTCCGCCACCACCTCCATCTCTTCTCCCCCTCCCTCCTTTCTCACCTCGCCTCCTCCTCCGCCTCCATCCGCCTCCCCTCCTTCTCCCACCGCCTACTCCTCCTCTCCCCCTCCCCCGACCTCCCCCTCTTCAACGCCGCCATCAAATCCCTCTCCTTCTTCCCCTCCCACCAACCCTTCCACCTTCTCTCCCTCCTCCGCTCCGCCGGCCTCAAACCCGACCGCCAGACCTTCGCCCCTCTCCTCAAGTCTTGCTCCCTCCTCCCTTCCCTCCAACCCGGCGCTGCAATCCACGCTTCGGCCCTCCTCGCTGGCTTCGACGCACATGCAGCGGTCGCCATCCAGCTCGTTGAGTTGTACGCCCAGTTCGGCCGAATGAAGGACGCCCACAAAGTATTCAACCACATGCCGCACAGAGAAATCGTGGTATGGAACTTAATGATCAATGGTTTCTTCAAAATAAGCGATTTTGATTCCGCCTTCCTCCTCTTTCGGAAAATGGGAAACAGAAATGTCGTCACATGGAATACAATGCTTGCTGGGATTACACGCGCAGGTCATGATATTCAAGCGATGGAGTTGTTTTTGGAGATGTGGGAGTCCGGCATGGATCCAGATGAAGCCACCATTGTCACCATTCTTCCCATCTGTGCTCGATTGGGGAATTCCGATCTCGGACGAAAAATTCACTTCTACGCCGAACAAAGAGGTCTTTTGATCTCTGCTTCCAACGTTGGGAACTCCCTCATCGATATGTACTCAAAATGTGGAGACTTGGAGAACGCACGCAAGGTGTTTGATGAAATGCCGCAACCAGATGTGGTAACTTGGAACACTATGATCAATGGACTAGCCATTAATGGGCACGGCTTATTGGGACTCCAGATGTTTGATGAAATGCTTGAGAGATGCTTCCCGCCACCAAATTCAAGCACATTTGTTAGTGTTCTTGGATGCTGCACTCATGCCGGCATGGTGAATAGAGCGAAGGAACTGATTCTCGCTATGACGGCGGAGTACAAGATCAAACCAAAACTCGAGCATTACGGGTGTTTAGCGGACTTATTGGGGCGGTGCGGGCGGACGAGAGAGGCATTAGAGTTGATTGAAGGGATGCCGATGAGGCCGACGGCGGCGATCTGGGGGGCGCTGTTGAGTGCTTGCCGGAATAACAGGGATGTCGAGGTTGGGGAGAAGGCGGCGTCTGGGGGGCGCTGTTGAGTGCTTGCCGGAATAACAAGGGATGTCGAGGTTGGGGAGAAGGCGGCAAAAAAGTTGATGGAGGTGGAGCCGGAGAATTCGGGGAATTTCGTGTTGTTGGCTAATTTGTATGCTGAGGGTGGGAGGTGGGAGGAGGCTGAGAAAGTTTGGTCTGTAATGAGGGGGATGAGAGTTTGGAAGAATGCAGCTCGAAGTGCTGTAGGGTTGGATGGGTGAGTTTTCAAGTCCTTCATGAACTATTTATCGCCGGCTGCCGGCACCCGGCACCGCCTCCCATTAGCTCCACCGGCCAACCGCCAGCACTGGAGCAAAACTGTTTTAAGTTTGTAAGATGATATAGAATGTATGATATTGGATTATTATCTTTATGAGGAGTTTACTGAAAGAACTGGGAGTAATATTAGTCCAATGCAGTTATAGTTTTGGAATTGAGAGCTCAATAATGGAGTTGTTGTCATCAATGAGAAATTTTTGAAGATTTTAAGTGATAGCTCATGATATATTATCTAAGTAAAAAACTAATTAAAAATAACTTATTTAATTATATTTTAATAATAATATATTATAATTTAGGAAGCTTGACATGCATACTACTCATTTGTTATGTACAAGGGGGAAAATATTTGCGTGCGTAAGACGTACGCAGCGTTGCATAAATCCAAGGGTTATTCAGGGGTTATATCGGGGTTATACCTCTCTGTAACCTCTTTGTAAACTACCTGTAACCCAGATAGAACCCCTCTGTAACCCCTGACGTACACACCGCTCCGTACGTCTTATGTACGCAAATATTTTCCGTATAGGGGGGGCCAAAATCTCTTTTTTGTGCTGCAAAAAATTTAATTTTCAATATAAAAATCTCAACTGTCTTCATGTCATATTGGGATCACCACTAACTTTTTTTTAAAAAAAATTTGACAGAATATTAATATAAAAAAATAATAAATATACTTAAAAATTATAAAAATGTCAAAATTTTGATAAATAGATGCTAATAATATATATA